ATTATACATACATATAACCTCGGGACACGGAGTAGAGTGCGGGAACGGATTCAATGGAATTGTAATAGATAAGCATGATATGGGGGTGGGAGGGCAGTGGATGGGGGGGGGGGGGTTGTTACTTTGTGAGGGTGAAAAGGGTAACTATTGCATTGTTCTGTACACCTGAAACTAACAATAAATAAATAAATAAATAAATAAAATTAAAAAAAAAACAACAAAAAAAAACAAATAACATCACATAAAATGGCTATAGATTTTGATTCAGGTGGTCACAAAAACAGTCTTGCAACTTCAAGTATCTGGTGTACTTTAGAGTTGAAATTGATAATTTATGGGTTAATAAAGTTCTTTTTTGTTTGGTTTTGTCTTCCATTTTGATCCTGTGACATACACCCATATTTTGTATTCTCTCATTTTTTCTGTTAGGTTGTGAAGTTCTTTCAGGTAGCAGAAATGTTTCGCTGCAGCAACTAATGCAGCATTCTTCACATAATAAACTTTAAGCAGCGTTCAATAAAAATCTGTAAAAGGTAATGATTCACTAAATGGGTCAATAATCTTTAACTGAATTTAAGGGAACTAAATATACATGTCTAAATTCCAGCATCTTTAAATATAAAATCAGTGGGAAATAGCTATCAAGTCCTATTCTTGATTAGATTTCCAGAATTTTAAAATTTTGAATATGATTACACTTATATGTGGAATCTAAACAAACAAACAAACAAACAAAACAGAAACAAACTCACAGACACAGAGAACAAACTGAAGATCTCCAGGCAGGAGGAGATTTGGGGGTTGGGTGAAAAATGGGGAGGGATTAAGAAGTACAAATTGGCAGTTACAAAATAGTCATGGGGATGTAAAGTACAGGATAGGGAATATGTTCAATAATATTGTAATAGCTCTGTATGGTTTCAGGTGGGTACTAGGCTTACTGGCATGACAACTTTGTAAGTTATATAATAGTAATCATATTGCACATCTGAAACTAATATAATATTGTATGTCAACCGTAACTGAAAATTCAAGAAAACATTAAAAAATAAAGCATCTGCAACACATTTA